CTCGCTCGTTCCACGCACGCGCAAATCCGGGCGTTTGAAAATTGCACGCCCGAGACATGCCTCGTCCGGCGTATCAAGAAATATCTCTGACACACTCACGCATATAAACACAGTCATACATTGTCGAGTGCAGTGACGGTCGCTTAAGAAAATCCTTTAAAAAAATGCTTCAAGGCTTCACACCCTTCAAACCCACGGGTCTTCCGTTTCCCCGTGGTTTTTCCTCTGGCTGCCGCATCTCGAAGCGAACGATTCGTGGCGGTTTTCAAATCTGTGCGCGTGGTCGCACGCCTCGCGAAAGAGGGACGCACCTGCATGCCGCTTGGCGCGCAGCTGCGACCTTCGACGCCCTTGTGCCGGCGGTCGTGCCGCGCGACGCCCGTCCTCCTCATTTTTACGCCGGACGTACGCACGGCCACGCGCGCGGTCCGCTCTGCTTGCTTCTCCTCCTGCGTCACCGCGCAGACACCCGCGGCGCGTTCTCCGCCGTTTGCTTTTTTCCCCCTTTTTCATTTTCTCTCTCTCGTTCGTGCGAAACGACACAGTGCGTTGCAACCCTCGCGCGTTGCACAACCCGCTTGCTACTGCCTCCGGAGAGTGTACGTCCAGTGCCGTGAGTCGTGTGTCAACCGCGTGTGTCATCTCGCTGCTAACCGGCGAATATCCCTCTGGAAGGGGGCATCGGCGAAAGGATCGCTGGCTAACCACCACGCGTTCGCCTCCACGCTTCCTCCTCGCTTGCCCACCCCCGTGCCACCGTGTACCTGCGCAATAGGTTTAAAGGACCCCGTAGACAGCGCTCCAGCAAGCTGTTCGAGCTTACAGGTTGGCATTTCTTCTACTAGGTTTGTTTGTTTCGACATTCGGCGATATTCGGCCTCGAGTACTCCGTAATCGGACGAGTGAAATCGACGTTGTTCGTTGTAAGATTGTTGGGATAATTGTGCAGTAATTATCAATTACGAGTGGCACGAGTTGTTGGTTATGGAGTACAATTTTACATCGAGTGATTATCTTGGAATTTGTCGAATTTGTGGCAAGCTCTTGGCGAATGAAATATTCTTTTCTACTTCGTTGGAGTGAAGAACGGCAGTCGTTCCGAATGTAATTCCGTGATCAAACTTTCAATGATATTCAGTAGTTTAAACTGCTTTTGTTTTGATTGTTTTGAACGGGAAGCCTAACCGTAACGAAGGTGTAGGCTACACTTGTTTTGATGATTGTGCTCAATTATGTCAGGGGGAATGTCAAGTGCTTGTGTTGGTGATTGAAATTGGAGCAGATGAACAAATTCGTTTTCATTACACAGTTAGGGTGTATGAAATTATTATATCATTCAAATAATATGAATTTATTTTATTTATAACTTTGTGTAACAATTACCCGTGGCTATTAATCGCGAAACATTTACGTTATATTCCTCGAGCTTAATGTATCTTATTTGTTGGTATAAATTCTCCTTCTCGATCTTTAAAACAATTCTAAAAATATCGCCGGTCTATTTAAATATTTACCTTTGTCCCACGTGTATCTGAAAAATATGTCACGTTGTGCTTTTACACGAGTTACAACTATAAATAGCATCGCAAGAAATCACTCCTCGTGATCAGATCTATGTATATTTTTCGCGCGTATTATTATCTCAGTATTACACAATGGTAATTATCCTCGCGGTACATCATCGGTGATTGCCTTTCAATTTTTGATATCGTCGAAGCGCAGTTGCGAAAATATCGATCAAAATTCAATCGCTAGACAAACTTTTAAACGAGTTATTCGCGTGATGTCGTGATGTCGTGAATTGGCCACATGTTTCACCTCTTTGTCCCAGTTTAAATTCCTCTTAATATAATTATATTATTCAGAATATATTTCTCGTAGAGAGTCGTACAAGAAGGATGAGTTTCAGTCGGCAGTTGGGCAGACAACTTTCGATAGCCTTGTCTAATCTGTCGGCCTATTTGCGCTCAGATTTGTTGCCCTTTCCATCGTAAAAATATCGCGAAACTGCCTATTCGTTCTCCTCAATGTACAAATGAAAAGCAAAGTTTATTAATTGATTAATTATTGTTAATTAATATTGAAAGTGACAAATTAAACGTTCGAAACCATCGATTGAGATAGATGTGTTTGCACTTGACGAAACGAATAAATTCGTAGAAATGCGTTGAATTGCGTTGAATTACCTTTTTCGTTAATTCGTGTATTTCGTTATATTATATTACATTACGCATAGTATCATACGTTATACTATTGTATTATACAGTATATAACTTATCGTACAGCATTCATTTTATAGCTAAACAAGATCACGGCGTAACTTGCATTCTGCGTTCGTGGAAATTCCAATTTGTATAAAATAAACATCCACAGTCCTGTCGATTAAACCGTCAGTATCCTAATTTTTTTTTTTCAACTACAGATATTTTGTTTCTTACGTGTGGGTTATTGAGAATCGGTCGAGGCACAGATATACGCATACCTCTGTACCTCTGATCCACTTTCCAACGCAATCAAAGGAAATCGAATAGATTTCTGCAGATCCGTGTCGCGTTACGTACTCTTACAAGTGTGAACGTACGTATTGCGTTTCGATACAAGAGCTTTCTCAAATATCCGACACAAATTAATGCAACTGATAGTAGGAAATGTTACGTGGCGTTCTTGTTCCTCTACGAACCTTCTTATCATCCGCTACACGATTTATTCGACATTGATTGACTTGACGTCAACCCGCAAGCACAATAGATTTAATTGA